TATACTTTACTTTTATAATTTTTAATAAACCTCTTATATATCTATTAATAGGTAATAAACTAAGTTATTAGATACTTATATTATACTTAGTATTTAGTAATATACTTTAGTACCTTAAAAGGTATATAGATACTACTAATTATAAGCGATGCTTTGTTTATAAATAATGATAAGATATAAAGATTATTTTAAGGATATATTATTTTACTCTTTAAAGGTCTAATTTAGTAAAAGGCTACTTAGTAAAACACTGTTATAATATTAATAACTAAGGCTAAGCTTCTTAGCCTTAAGCATATTATAAAAGAAACTATTACTCTTAAGCGTTTTTTCTAAGATATATAACTTAAGCTTAGTAATATATAAAAGATTAATTATAATAATAATTAAACTATTTACCTTATTATAAGTAAAAGTAATTAAATTTTAATTTATTTATAGTATATTAATATTTAAAATATATAGCTTTAATAAAAATATAGTAAACGTTTATTTAACGTTATATATATATTAATAGATAATATACTAATAGATAGTTTTATTAAGAACTTTATTAGAGTAAAATTTAAGTACTTTAAAGTGCTCTTTAACTTATAAAATATATAAATAAAAATTATATATACTAAAAAAGAAGTATTAGTAGAAAAAGAATACTTATAAACTATTTAAAATTACTATTTATAGCCTATAGGCTTTTATTCCTAGTAGAAGCCTAAAAAAGAAGTTTTTTTAGTGTTATTAACCCCTTAGAAGTACTATATACTGGTCTATAAAAAGCTAATATGTAGGTATAGTTAATGTAGGTATTAACTAACTAATAAGGCTATTAATTATAGCTTAAATAGCGTCTACTTAACCTTTATTTACAACAATAATAGCTATACTAGAGATAAGACTATTAAATAAAGCTAAATTAACTAGTATATTCTTATTAAATAGTACTAGTATTACTTTATTATACTTCTATATACTATACTAAATATTTTTTTTAAAAAAAGGTCTACTTAAATATAATATAGCTTTATAATACACTAATTATTTAGCTAAAAACCTATAAAAATAGTTAAAATTAAATAAATAAATATTATATATAAAAATATATACTTAAAGCTATATTATTACGCTTTATAACTAAGAACTCTTAGGCTAAATAATAAAGCTTAGAACTCTTAATAATTATAATATAAAAAGTCTTACTAAGCGTATAGTATTAGTACTTAAGGGTCTAGCTACTACTTATTAGTATATATTAACCTAAAGAATTACTATATAATATACTTTAAATATACTATAAGTACTTAAAGTTTCTTTAGAGAGTAGGCTCTAAGGTCTTAGTGTATACCTCCTTTTCCTTCTCCTTATCCTTCTCCTTCTCCTTCACCTCTTCCTTTAATATAAACCTAAGAATAGTTATCTTTATTTAATAAAATCAGTAAAAAGCTTAAGTTAAATAAAAAAAAAAAATATATTAGTTAACTACTAATTATAAAAGGCTTTTAAGACTATATTAAAGTAGACTTAGGCGCTAAAGAAAAGAGGTAACTTTAAATTATTCTTATTTTTACTTATAGTACTTGTAGAGAAGTCAGCTAGAAAAGGAGGCTATAAGCTATCCTCTTTAGTGTTAACCTCCTTACTACTATAGCTTCTAGTAAAAGAAGTCTACTCTTATATATTAATACTACTTAAGATATAAAGGACTTAGATAAAAAATAGATATATAAGAAGAAAAGAGACTATAGGCTAGTTACCAAGGGGATCAGAAAAGCTACTACTTTTCCTATTACCTTTATGCATTTTATTATACCTCTTAAGTTAAGCTATATATATTATAGTAATATAAGTATATATAATAGCCTTTTTATTAGTTTTTAGAGGTATTTATTCTTAAATATTAATATTATATAAAGAGCCTATAATATAAGTAAATATATATATATATAATAAAAATAATAATATTTTAAATATATAGTTATTATTATTATAAATAAAAAAAAATAAAAAAAAGGCCTTTTTATTAAGCTAAAAGAAAATAATATTATTAAAAAAAATAAATACTTAACTTAATAATTAATTAGCTAATTAAAGGCTATTAATCTAATTAAATTATTTAAAGGTAATAAAAAGAAAAAAAGTAGTTTTTTACTATTAATAACTAAATATAGTATTATATAACTATTTCTTTTATATTTATTACTTTAAAAATAAATATTTATATCTTTATTTATTTTTTTAAGGTAATTCTTTTATATATAGCTATTATTAGACGTATAATAGTTAAAATCTATTAATCTACTTAGGGGGGTGTGTTATAATGCCCTTATGTATATTATGTAGCCTTGTGAGATTTGCGCTGGGCCTGGATTAACTATTAGTCCGGTCCCTTTGTGCGGATCCACCACGCAGGATACGTATTTATTCGTTTCAGACAAGGCAATCCTGCACATAGAAATCTAAGCCGTTTTCCTTATGTCTTTTCTACCCTAAGTGGTGACTCTACGGCAGGTTTCTAAGGTAACATAGCGCATCAGCGTCTGCTGATGCTGGCCTGTTGCTGAATTCCAGAGTTTAACGGTCCTGTCGTCTGAGGCTGATGCAAGCTGGCGGCCATCAGGAGAAAAGGCTACTGAAATAACCCAGCTGCTATGGCCCTCTAGCGTCTGTTGATGCTGGCCTGTTGCTGGATTCCATAGCCTGATAGTTCCATCGTCTGAGGCTGATGCAAGCTGGCGGCCATCAGAAGAAAAGGCCATTGACCTGGTTTTACTACCACGGCCTTTTAGTGTCCGCCGTTGCTGGCCTGTCACTAGATTCCAGATCTTAATTGTTTTGTCGTCTGAGGCTGATGCAAGCTGGCGGCCATCAGGAGAAAAGGCTACTGACATAACCCAGCTGCTATGGTCCTCTAGCGTCTGTTGATGCTGGCCTGTTTCTGGATTCCATAGCCTAATAGTTTCATCGAGTGAGGCTGACGCAAGCTGGCGGCCATCAGGAGAAAAGGCTACTGACATAACCCAGCTGCTATGGCCCTCTAGCGTCTGTTGATGCTGGCCTGTTTCTGGATTCCATAGCCTAATAGTTTCATCGCGTGAGGCTGACGCAAGCTGGCGGCCATCAGGAGAAAAGGCTACTGAAATAACCCAGCTGCTATGGTCCTCTAGCGTCTGTTGATGCTGGCCTGTTTCTGGATTCCATAGCCTGATAGTTCCATCGTCTGAGGCTGATGCAAGCTGGCGGCCATCAGGAGAAAAGGCCACTGACCTGACTAAGTCGTTATGGCCCTTTAGCGTCTGCTGGCAACAGCCTGTTGCTGGATTCCATAGCCTGATAGTTCTATCGTCTGAGGCTGATGCAAGCTGGCGACCATCAGGAGAGAAGGTTACTGACATGACCAAATATTTATGGCCCTTTAGCGCCTGTTGATGCTGGCCCGTTGTTGGATTCCATAGCCTGATAGTTCCATCGTCTGAGGCTGACGCAAGCTGGCGGCCATCAGGAGAGAAGGTTACTGAGTTAACACCTAGTGAATGGCCTTCTAGAGTTTGCAGGCATGCGCTCCATTCATCTTCTACCAAAGGCTTTAAAGATATCCATTCTGGTTCTTCTTCTTGAAACAGTTGTCTTACTTTACTCTTTGTTGGACTAAATAAGAGTGCTGAGCTATAGATTTGAATGGGACTACCTTCAATACCCACAGTATGATACTTGACGAATAGGAGCATGTCTTGAACAAGTTCGGGTAGCTCAGGAGGCCCTTTCTGTAGGTTAGAAGGGTTAGAATCCAAATAAGAATAATAGCATTTAGTAAGACGCACTTGTACTAAAAACAAAAGTTTAGATAAGATGAGAATCCCGTTCGAAAGGCTATTGATCAGACTTAAGGCTTCTAACCAGTGAAGGTAGTGGCTCTTTAAAAACCCATAAATGATACCGCTGTCGGTAAGTTCTGTGCGATCACTGGCTCCGTCTTCCAAGTGGTTGACCCAGTTGAGGCAGGAGTAGCGAATCGGTGCTAGGGGGTCGGGCTCAGGGCTGCGCTGTGGGACTGGGGCTCCGGGGTGCTTCAAGTCGTACAGGTCTCGTCGTAAGGTGTATCCCATCACATCTATAGACCGCGATGCTATACGGTGATGGATTGCTGCAATAGAGTATCCCAAGACGGCATTGGGCGAGTCTGTAAAATAATCTTTGACAGACTGATGAATGAGGTATACAAATCCCTCTCGAACTGTAAGAAACGAGCTACACATGTCGACAGCCGTCTGAATATGACTGTCGAGATTCATGCCTTCAGGCATATCTGACAACACTCCAAGCTCACATAAAGAAAGTGGTTGGTAGGCGACAGTCGCCATCGAGAGGATGCGGACGCATAGGTTTCTGTCGTCGTCCGATAGTTCATTCTGAACCTGTTCCATCATCCTGCTGTATAGAGGTTGTAAACCTGATGGTGTTTGGTTTATAATTCTCAGCATATTCCAGGGTCGAGTTTTCTGAAGTTCTCGGACGACCAAGTCGACCCAGAGGAAGGTTCCATTAGCTTTTGATCGCAGTTCATACCGGACTTTTTGTTGCTGTTGCTTGTCATTTCTGAGTGATATAAGCTCGGAAACTTTGCTGTCGATGAATGTGTTGATAGCCTGAGTGACGTGCCCCTCATTCAGCTCAAGACTCAGCCTTTTTCGGGAGTCATTTTGCTGAAGGCTCTGCTCGATATCATCCCTGTATCGACTGGACACTATCCATTTGACAGGGCAATCAGACACACTCTTGGCGATGAAATTGAGGAGTGATTGCCGGTCCCGCTCGCACTCGTCCAAGGCATCAACTATCAAGTAGCTCTCTATTGCGACAGGGTCGTGGAGCATGCTGGTAAGAATCCTTGAGAGCTTGTAGAATGCGCTCTCACCTTCAAAAAGCTGTTTGCCAGCGTGTTCGTATGCTTTCTCGATATGTTGGATCAGGGAAGGTTGTTGAAGGATTAAAAGGTACATCAACCCTCACAGGACGGCAGTGGCGTTGTCTAGGTTTCGTGCGGTTCCCTGGCAAAGGAAGAACGAAAGGGGCTGCGCTTGTGACTTGGATAGCTCGTCGATGATGCCGCACAGCAGCATTGTCTTGCCTTTTCCAGCGTCACCCTTGATCCAGAGCAGCCGGCTTTTCCTGTCGTCTCGCCATTGGCGGAATTCATCATGGTCTAGAATCCACTGGTATGATTCCTTGATAAGACCACCTTTTGTATCTTCGATACGCGTCTTCTCATCCCGAGAATCGACCAGTAGCAAATCGGCGAGACAATTGCGTTGTGATCCGTTATAATTGTGGATGATGGTATCACCCACCTGAAGTCGGCCGTGGCCGTCGATGGTTGCAGTTCCGAGGTGGTTTGCTTTTGCCGCGTGTCTGTCGCTCATGGTTGTTGCCTCTTCGATGGCAATTTCGTCATTCAGTAACACAAGACGTAGGCTGGTTTTTGCTGTCTCTTGTGTGTCGCGATGGGGACGACGTGATGGTTGAATATGCCTATCATACACAAAAGAGGGGAAAGGTTGCGGCGCAGTTGCAAGACACGCTTGTTATATACGAGGCTTACTGCAACATGGTGGGGAAGCAACACGTTGCAGCCAATCGTCGAGGCGGCCTTGCCGCGACAGATTGACGGAGGCTAGGGGGGACTAAGGTACTCCCCGTACCGCTTATCCTCTGGCTCGATAGACCAACAAGGAAGCTCCAAATGGCCAGTAGACATTAGGTACTACGTAGTGCCGTCAAATGACTGATGTTGTGGTGCACAATTCGCAACACGCCTCCATCACATACCGCATGCAGTAGGTTTAAAAGAAAGGGGGGGGGGATATCGGAAATATAAGAGTCGATATTGAAAAGACGAGGCCACAACTGTGAAGTACCACATAGGCCCCGCTTAGCCAACAGTAAGGTCAAGGGTGGCATCAGTCGAAAATACCTCGCCCACCATACCGATTTCCAATGTGCACTGCCGTGGTGCCTCTCGCTGCCACTGAACCTGCCCCATTCTCAGTCCGATCCGTATAGCGCGTAGCCGGGTCCAAGGCAGCTTCGCTCCACTCGTTCCCCACCCGAATCTTTGCCTGTTCCTCCGCGCTGATGACCTCGGCGTAGTTCCTTCCCGTCATGCCTTCAAATTTCTCCCGGACTGCTTCTGATAAAACACTATCGGCTTCCTGGGCGGCGTCTTGTAGCATTGTCAAGCTCTCTTCGTCTTCCACTGCATCAATCTCCAGCCTCGCGAGTCTGCGGCGGGCCTGCTCAGCGGGGAACAGCGTCTCCAAGGCATCCACAAAGTCCATCATCTCATTCACCAGCTTGTTGAAGTTCTTGCCATCGTAGAGCGCCCACGTTACCTTCTTCGTAAGGCTCGTTTTCTTCTGCCGCTGGCCGGCAATGAGACTAAGCCTGCGATGTAGTTGCTGGGCTACTGGTTGCATGCCCGTGTCTGTAAGGCGTACCAAATCCTCATGATTTGCGCCGATCTCGTAATGCTTGGAAGACCTTTGTAGCGTCTGGAACAGATCGTTGATCTGCTCCAAGATTGATTGCACCTGAAGGGAGGATCTGTCGCCTGGCGTGTTGGTAGTAAAGCAAGGGTTCTCGTTGATCGCGACGGCTTCGCCCCATCTACTGAGTCGGGCTTTGGCGATATCAATTCTCAGTAGGCTGCGCTCGAAATCTCGACCAAAATGGCGGCCCATTTGAATGTACTCGAAGCAGTCAACGCAGTTGTTGAATAAGGACGCTATGCTCAAGGCGCCTGCCACGACGCCAAAGGTTTCTGCGGCCATGACTGGAGTGATGCGAACTTTTGGCGCTCTGAGAGTAACTATGCCGCTGGAATCAGGCTGCATGAGAGATGTCTGTCGAGAGAGGGCCACCTTCTTTTTGATATGGGTGTCAAAGGAGACAGTCGCCTAAGCCTGCTGACTAAATGAGGGGCTAACCAGAACGGGCACACGTTCGAGGCCTTCATGACATTGAATATTCATTCTTGCAAAAGAATGACGATAACTCTCTTTTGTTGCCAGCGCAGGCCCCAAACCTTGTAGACCACGAGCGAGTCCAATCACCACCGTAGTCGTCTAGTATGAGGCACTACTAGGCGCGAAAGCACATGGCTCGCTGCTTGCTAAATTCTCGGGCGTTATCGCCTCGACTCAAAATGCTTTGGTGCGTAAATTAGGTAACTTAGAGCGGACAGGTTCGTAATGACCTTTCAGCCTACTGTTACCAAATTTCGCTGAGATGCCTTGCAAGCTTGCGCTGGGAAGAGAGCCAATCCCACCCGCCATGACACTTTCTTGTGCGCTGACAGTGCCACGGTATAAGTTGCTCATCAACACGATGCATTGAGATTTGTAGGGTAGCAGCAGGCTAGTATCATAGTAGCACTATCCACAGACTGGTGCTCCCGAAGCACTTCGAGTTACTCATCGCTCATAACATTACTAACAACCCAGTGCCAAGAAGCACCGCAGGCCTCCAGGACACTGGCTTCGTCGAGCCTAATAGCAGATTTTGGCGGGGGTCGACAATCTTGACAGATTGCTAGTTAGGCAGATTGCCCTCGCAACCTCTTTGTTGGTGCATTGTTCCAGATCTCTAGCTATACGGTCCTCATACTCTTGGTGACCGAATTAGATACCACTGGTAAGCTAAGAATATCACTACGCCCGACATTGTCTGTTTTCATGGGCGATGTGCTGACCGGGGACGACGTAACAGAGTTGACCGAAGACAGGTTGCCGAATACATTTGTTTTACAGCGTAGAACTCCAAGATTGACAGCCGCGACGAAGGTAAATCTGGCTTATCCACTTAAAAAAAAATGTCATTAGTTAGTTCTGTTACCATTGGATCGGGCAACTAGACTAGTAGAGCTCTCACATGGCCGTTAACTACGCCAAGAAGGCCTCTGTCGGTCTGCTTTGCATCTATAGAAGATTCCGGAGAGCTGGGCCTTCAATCCTTCAACAGTGACCTGGAATTATCAGAAGAAAAGCAAGTAACAGTTATTGTGCCAGCTCAAGGAAGTAAATCTTAAGCCCAGCCTAATATCCTCCCGAAGACAGCAAATTTGGCAATTGGCTTTGTGGCAGTTTCTGTAAGTAAAACACGCAAAAGTAATTACCAAAGTAAACTCAACTGTTGTTGGATTCTCCAAATTTTGATGCGGCTTCCCTCAAAGATGAAGAGAACAGAAGATCTTTTACCCGCAATGATTTGCCGGCGATTCTGAGCGTTGATACCACTTGCATCGTTGTGATCGAGTCTCCCCCAAGAGCGAAAAACGACCTATCAAGATTCACTCTGTTAAGAGGAATGTTGAGGACATTGCTGCAAACCCTCCATAATATCGCTTCAGTCGGGTTCGCTTCGGTAGTCTTTACATTAGAATCTTGACAAAGGAGATCAAAAGGGCTCCTTTGCAAGAATGTCTCTAACTTTCCCTGAAGAGCAGGTCGGTCAAGTTTACTGGTAACAGTGAAGGGTAGCGAAGTAACTCTGAACCAAACAGAGGGCACCATGCAGTGTGCCACAGCTTGAAGTAGCTGTGACCTGGCTTCCGACACAAAGTCATCATCGCAAAGGTGGAAAGAAACTCCAAACTCATTGGTGACAGCTGACGTATGACTGGTGACAACAACTGCTGTAAGGCGTCGAGCCAAAGGACCATGCTTGGGATGGACAACAGCCGAATCTTCTACCGTGGTGATTTTGCGTATATGATGCTCGATATCTGAAAGCTCGACACGTTGACCTCCAAGTTTGATCTGAGTATCTGCTCGTCCAAGACACTCCAAGGAACCGTCAGACAAATATCGCGCCAAGTCACCGGTCTTGTAGAATCTCCTGCGAGTCGTCATGTCTGGAATGTCGAGTTGTCCCCAGCTAGTGTTGGAGATAAAATTTTCAGCCGTCTCGATTGGGTCATTCAGGTAACCAACGGCCAATACGGGGCCCTCAATAACGAGTTCGCCCACGGCCCCGATAGGTGCAAGTTGGTTTCTGACGGGATCAACAATCCAGGTTCTCATATTTAGGCCATGACCGATGGAACTGGCTCGGCCAGTAATAGGTCCCTAAGCTATTGTTGCCAGAAACGTTGCTTCTGCTGGGCCGTAGCCATTGTACGCATGGACTCCTGCATCGATCCATGGTCGGATGTCTGGCTCCCTTACCAACTCACCGCCCAGTATGAGAGTCCTCATATCAGGCATCGTATTGGGGGTCAACATACGTGCAACGGTTGGCGTCAAAATTGCCCATGCTGCGTGTACATCGGTGGCCTGCTGGAGACGGCATGCCAATCCTACAAGAGACGTGCGTTGAGGACGAGCAGGCTAGCACCCGTTACACTTCCGATTCCGCCTCCGCTTGCGGCGGGCGGGCGAGCGGGACGTGGACGCGGGAGCTCGTCAAAAGTTAACATGTGTGAGAGCTCTTTGGATTTTTAGAAAATGGTTGGTGCTTAGCTGTTGAGATCGTTAACGCCCTTCTCTTCCTGTGCCAGCTTGTGAAGGATATAATCAACTTTCACTCCATGTTCCAACACATACGACCATACCCACTGGAGAACTCGGGATCCCGTCCGCTCTCCCATAGATAAGCCAGTAAGGGCAATCTTATCTATGGGAGACTGCGTCTGCTGACAAATCTGCATGGGAAACGGAACGGACCTATAATTCCTTACGGTGCCATGGCGTTAGCTCTCTGAACCGACCTGTTACGGTCAGATATCCGACAGTGGTGTTTTCTGCTAATAGGCAGCTGAGGTCGATACTCGGTAACAGTAAGGTAAGTCTTGTTGGTAATCTTGCTGGTCTGTTGGTGTCTAGTGATTAGTCAGGCACGTCTAGGCGTAGGTGGCTTGTAGCTTTATAACAGAAGGATAATCTAAGAGTTACTTATGAGAGAGTGAATCATAAAGTTGATTGCTGAAGAGCTATGGAAGTCTGTCTTAGAGCTCGTCTAAGCTATCCTATATATAGGTCTAGTTCATTCTATTAACCTATTAGTAGTAATCATTTACTTAGGCCTATTAATTAATTACTTATATCTATTAATTAATTAGTAGGTCTACTAATTAGTTAATAGGTTTTATAAAGTAATTACTTTATTTTATTTATATATAACTTATATTATAGTTTTTTTTTGTTTTAAGGAGTTATTTATTTATTTTTATATCTTATTTATATAAATACTGTATTACTTATATTTTACTTTATTTAGGCAAGGTATTACTATTAGTAACTTATTAAGTTATAATAACATATATACATAGTAAGTAACGCATTATAGTAAGTAATGCATGTTCATACCCTTTCTACCTCTTTGACCTTTACACCAACTTTCCTCTACATATAAACATACAATTCTCCTTAAATAAAACTCATATTATCTTTACTATATAGGCTCTTAAAGAGAACCTAAAAATGTCTATATAAAGCACTACCTTAAACTTTAAGGTCTTTAAAGTAACCCTTTATCGCTAACACACTAGACAACTACTATAAGCTAAAACACATTTAAAATTAATAAAGATAACTATATTAAAAAAAAAGTAATTATTAAATGAGTTATTAACCTAATTAATCAAGGTTTCTCTTTATAACAAGAAGACATATAAGATATAGCTAATCAACTCCTTTCTAAATATAATATAATATATATTAGACCTTAATAAGTAAAGAACTTTATATAACAATAACCCTAATTAAAAATATAATTTTAATATTAAATTAACTATTAAAAGGCCTTAGCTAAAGATCCTATAATTATATAAAACTAGTTTATACTTATATAAAATATAATTACAAAGTATAAGATATAAGATTATAATATCTATAATTTTAATAAAACTAATTTCTTAATAAAATACTATTATATATAAAGGTTATTATAATATCTAACTATAAGAAAAGGCCTTATATAAAGTAGCCTAGTAATTACAAATAAGTTTTTGTTATTCAGGGTATATATATAGATAACTAAGTAATACCTCTATATATTATCATAAAAAGCAAATATTACCTCTTCTTTTAGTATACTAATAGCTAATTCTTAGCTATATAATATATTTGTCTAAATAAAAATAAATAAATAATAAATATTATTAGCTTAAATTAATTAAAGTACTTTAATTAATATATAAAACCTTATATAAAAATACTTCTTACCTCTTAATCCTTAATAGTTATAATAGCTATAAATTAACTAACTTTAATAAATACTATAAAAAACAAAGTATTATTACTCTCTATATACCTCTTTATTTATTATATAAGCTTTAGCCTCTTAATATAAAGTACTTTAGCCTATTAAAATACTTATATAACCAAAAAATCAAAAAAATAATATAAATACAAATGTTATATATTACAAAAAACAATTTCTTTTTTACTTTTAAAATAGTATTTTTTACCTTAATAAATAAAAATAATATATAAGCCAGTTTTAAACAAACAAGCCTTATACCTTTTAACCTTAAAGTAGTTATTTCCCGCCTAGATTTTAAGCTAAAAACGCTTATACCACTAAGCTTACCTCTAAACAATAACAGCTCTTAGGACCCAAAGACACTAACTATAACAAAAGAAAATATACAAAGTACTTCTTCCCTTAAAAAGAAGATCTAAGTATATTAAAGTAACTCACTAACACCTTTATACAAGGTAATTAACCTACAAACAAAAGGTATTAGCAAGTTAACCTATAAGGTTACTATTCTTAAGGCTAAGAACAGTAAGCTTTATACAAGGATAAAGGTACTAAGTAAGCGTTAAAG